AGCTTCCATGTTTTATTGTCAAATCTTAATTAAACAAGCTGAGATTAGAAGCTGATTCTCAGTGCACCAGTTTTAGTAAATCTCCCCCAATGTGATTATTTGTGATTATTTGTTAAAACTGGACATGTAGTACTTAAAGACCAGGTGGAAGCAAACTTTAATCAAAGTACCTGTTATCATGCAAACATCTTTCACCATGCTGGGAAATGTCTAAGACAAATACATGACTAATCCATTTTCTCCATGGACAAAGGAACCAACCTCTCACATCACATGTCATTTGTCCATAACTAACCTAAAGTGTGCACAGGGCAGCACCGTGGGCAACTGCCTCCTAAGGGGCCATTTTTGCCACCACCCCCATCAATGGTTGCTATGAAGTAGGCAACCACCTGCACTATAACAAACAATGACACTGTGCAGCAGAGGCTGCCTGTGTTCTAGCAAAGAGGGAACCTATGCAAAAAGGGCCCCCTGCATCCTAGCAACAAAGGATGTTCTGCAGCAGGGGCCAGTTGCATCCTAACAGCAAAGGGAAGCTGTGTGTCATGGGCTGTACAGTGGCATTGGTCGCTAGGAGGCTGGAAGTTGGGCCACACAGCTGTCTGCACCGAAATAACAAATGTCATTGTGAGGCCCAAGTGCTGAACATACACAGGACTAAACATGCACGCACTGAGGATGGAGTGTTAGTATAGACACTCCAGCCACAGTGCCGCCTTCTGCTGTGTGTCACCTAACGCAGCCTCCTGAATTTGCCTTATTGGCAGTGCGGCCTGGGTAAGTAGGGTATGTAAATGTCCTTACTTGCTCCTATCTATTTTTGCTTCCTGGATTTATAGTGCCAACATACTTTGCAGCATTGTACAAGGTACATATAAACATTTGCAATAGTTAATGCCCTAAAGAAGCAAATCATTTAACATTCTTACAGCAGTTATTTAAATACAAATGCCAAACTGGTCAGCCACCAATTTAAGAATAGGTTCCCATTTAACCCCACGTCTTTGACTCCCAACCCGCTCCTCATCGAATTTCCCAGTGTTAGTACAGACCTCACATGTAGATGAACCAAGTTCTCAACCTGCATAGGGTCAAGCAGTGTGTATGTTCTCTACAGTAATTGGCAACACAACTGAGTACTGACTGTTCCAGGTACATGGACTATACCTGGAGATGAAGACAGACATTTTGTCATTCTGGGGACATGATTTGTGTTATATTGAGATCCAGAAAGAGCATAAACATTGGCCCTGGGCAGCTTGATTCATCTGCAGTGAAAGTCTGTTCTAACTACTGAGAAAATTGACAAATATCTTGGCTGGAGTTACACTTTAACCTAGCTGTGTGTTTTTGAGGTTGTGGCTTGTTTTGATTTGTTAATTTCCCAATTAAAAACTCTTGGAAGTATCATCAGTAATCCAAAATAGAACCCCTCAGGCATCCCTCATGACCTGGAGTGATATGCAAATGCTGACTTTGATACACAGTTAATAGCTGGCCTACCCCCTACGGCTGCCTGCATGGCATTACTATTTCAGCTTCCAACCACATTTATATTTAGGCATATTACATTACTTGTGTTTTAGCAGAATAATCAGATTATACACATACTGAAAGAAAGAATTGCTTCTGAATGTTCTAAACAATGTTCAAAATGCAATAAACCTCTCTAATACCATCAGCCAATGTTTACAGATCCCCTTCAATGTTTGCAACAGATAAACAGATACAAAGTTCTGTATGTGGTGACAGACCCTTATTTGCATTCGCACCTCAAGTTTTAACTGCAAGATCTGAGAAATACCTTTCATGTCAGGTTAAAGGCTGTTCACAAGAAAATGCTCTTTAGACAATCTGTATAGCAGAATTCCATGCACCATTACATTTCAGCATTCCGATATAAATATATTGCTGCACCTCCCTAGGTGCAAAAATCCTCTCAATTAATCATACAACCTATGAATTATGTGAAAGTGCTAATAATATCAAAGTGCAAGTGCATAAATGACATAAAATCATATCCTCACATGCACCAAAATATAAATCTCATAAATCACATTAATATTGGAATAAGTGCTGTTTATAAAGTGCATATATAATTTATAAATAACATCTATAAATGCATGCAATAATTATGAACTAAAGTCCATGTGCTTTTCCAAACTCATGCATAAGTGCATAATCCTCCAACATTCAAAATCCGCGCTCACCACTACAATGCGACCTGCCCTCTTACAGGTCTAAGTGCTTATTTCCTTATATCTGAAATCCTGAAGGTATTCTCTCTCTCATATATGGACTCACTCCCATCCAATAACTCGCTTTCAATGACTCAAATGGATCCTTCTATTTGTATGTAACTGTCCCTTTAAATTGGTGGTTTCTGGTCTGTGGTGAAAACTCACACAAGAGAGGGGCCCCCATAGTGTACTATATAAAAGAATCACATTTATTAAATAAAAAATGCACTATAAGTGTATCGTCACGGACATGTGACTTCCTCAGTAGTACCTGAGGAACTACTGAGTACTACTGAGGAAGTCATGTGTCCGTGACGATATGCATGTAGGCGGAGCTGGGCGGCAGGGAGTTTGAAACCGGATGTGACGTCAGAGCTAGCTCCGAGACTTACAGATATGCGATTTGTTTTTAACAGCTTGTAAGTTACATTGTTAGTCTGGCTGAAAAAAGACAAAAGTCCATCCAGTTCAACCATAGAAAAAAAAAAAAAAATTATAATCCTATACCCACAGTTGATCCGGAGGAAGGCAAAAAAAAACAGCAAAGCATGATCCAATTTGCTCCTGCTGGGAAAAAATTCCTTCCTGATCCCCTGAGAGGCAATTGGATATTCCCTGGAACAACTTTACTTATAAATGTTAGTATTCAGTTATATTCTGTGTATCTAAGAAAGAATGCAGGCCTTTTTTGAAGAAATCCACTGAGCTGGCCAGAACCAACTCTTGAGGGAGTCTATTCCACATTTTCACAGCTCTTACTGTAAAGAAACCTTTCTGTGTTTGGAGATTACATTTCTTTTTCTCCAGATGTAAAGAGTGCCCCCTTGTCCTCAAGTGCATTTTTTATTTATATTCTTAGAGTATATTCACACCAGATGCAGTGGACAGTTATTCAAGGCAGTCCCATTGCATGGAAAAGGCAAAATACCTTGTCTCCTATGTGCCCGGTTCACACCACTATGCTGCGGTAGTGTGCGGGCATGGTGCACTGAGAAAAAGTACCACATTCAGTACCTTTTATCAAAGCAGTGCAGTGCGAGGCAATCCACTGCTTCGCACTATGCAGCTGGTAATTGTGTGAATTTTGGCTGGTTCCTAATGACCCAACCAAATTTACTCCTAGGTGACCCTGTCATCACCTTCCCACCTGATATCCATTAAAGCAGAAATCAGGACAAAATGTTTTTGAATCATGCAGTGGGACTGTACCCGCACTCTATGGGCCAACTGCTTGTTTATGTCAATGGGTGATAACAGGGAAAACATACTTACTGAATCCACCAATCCTCGGAGCGCAAGACTGGTGCCTGCTGCTTCTGCCCTGCTGCACGCTAATGGTCTTGAGAATGAACTGTTCTTGACGTCATCACACCCACACCCCGACTCCGGGCATGCGGACAGCAGGCACAGTCCACCACTGGACGTGGGGGAGTGCGGATTTCCAGAGGATCAGAGGACAGGGTAGGTATAGCTCTTCCCTAAACCCCTGGACAAATCAAGCAGTTTTCCCATGCAGTGCGGGCGCAGCCCCATTGCATGGGGAAAAGAAAACATTTACATGGGAGTTCTGCTTTAACTGAAATATCGAAGGAGGCAGATGGAAAATTGTTAGCCACACATTAGCTACATCCAATCAGATGCAGCTGCTGTTTGGGTACTCTTACAACCTCTGGTGACAGCTGTTGGTGACAGCCTGAACAAAATAAATCTACTAGTGCATGGCCAACCAAACATGTGTGCCACTGACAGTGGAAAGGTTTTACACAGTACTGGGTTATTAGGTAATTAACAGGGTAGTTAGTCTTGGCAATAAAAAAAAATATTTCAAATGATTGTGCAGATTGCTAAGAGTTAATATTATATGTAGATATTTGTATTTTACTCCTACTGTTTTGACATTGTTTATACACTGTTTCACATCTGTCAACCAATGGGCACACATCCTGCTGTCCTTGCAGTTAGTAATGACACTTAGTAACATAGACAGGAAAAGGTCACAGCACTGATGAAGTAACCCAAAGCTCATGTCATGTGATCTCCCATGTCTTCTATCACGCTGTATGCTGGTTTATTTTTCTGAACTCTCACTCAACTCCAAAGGCTGTGGGAGAGATATGAATGAGGACATTCAGCCTGGGGCCACTCAGATATGGCAGCTTCATAACTAATGAAAGTTATCTCCAAGCCACATAGAGACATGTATGCTGATGTGAAATCATCTAAGGCTGGCCATACATTAAAGGAAAGTTGTACAAGAAAATTGTATAGATTTCCCAAAACCATATAATATGAGGCCAATCTTAAACATTTATTTTTTTTGTAATCAGACAGGTGCTTGCACTACATCATTGAAGGTAAATATAAAGGAATGAGAAAATTGTATAATGTATGGCCAGCTGAACAGCCATTTCTTTAAAAAAAAAAAAAAAAAAGGTTTTTTGCTTTTACTTACCTCTGTGTGATCCCCATTCCTTTTTCATCTTACACACTGGTAATGTGACCCTGGCCTCACAGATGCCCCCTGGGAAGGTTACGTCACCAGTGCCCTCCAGGAAGATCTCGTTCTTAAAGTGGAGTTTCAGCCGTTTTTGTGTTCATTAAAAATCAGCAGCTACAAAAACTGTAGCTGCTGACTTTTAATAAACACACACTTACCTGTCTCGGGGTCCAGCGATCTACTCACCCGCGCAGTCCCTTCTCTTCTGTCCTCCACGGCGCCAGCATCTCCACTGTTGGCACCAGTCTGACAGCTTGCAGCTTCACAGCCTGGTGCCCACTGAGCATGCACGAGTCGCACTATGCCTCCTGATTGGTCCGGCAGTTTCCTGGGACCTGTGAAAGTTCCCAGGAGACTGCGGGAGCAAGGAGGGGGCCAAACTTCCGGCTCACTTTGCCGCGTCGAACTGAGCCAGAAGTGGGAGCGAGTACCTGTCAAAACCAGGTATCCGCTCCCCCCAAAAGGTGCCAAATATGGCAGTGGAGGGGGGGAGGAAGCAAATAAGTGAAGCTTCCACTTTTGAGTGGAACTCTGCAATAAACTGAGAGATCTCAGGGGGAAAAAAGGTTTTGTTTTTTTTTATTTTAATGAGTGTTTTGTGTTACTCGGCAGTCAAGGAACAAGGTGCATGAGGTTGTGCACCTCATCTTGTGCATGCACAATATGACAAAGGTCCTCAGTGGGAAGAAAAGCTTGCCACCAGAGATGTTTTTTTTCAAATGACAGCTCTTGATAAACAGTGTACTTGCTTCCTTAAATACTTTTTGCTTTGCGTTGACATTTTTTTACGGTGGGGGGGAAAAGTGTACATCCACTTTGGGTGAACGTTTTACTATTGTCCACTTTAAGCTGCCCTTAGGCTTCAGATGACCTCTATTTGTGAATGCCTTAAGAGCAAGCTGTCCTAAAGTAGAAACTGAAAAGTAAAAAAAATGCGGACAGGTAGGATATTTATGACAGCAGAGATCCTGTTGCTCTCTTCTGTCGTAAACCCTTCTCCCTGCCTGTCAGGGTTTGTGTACACTGAGCCATGCATATACAGCTCAGCTCATTTATGGCACATCTCTATGTAGAGACATTGGGGTTGATTTACTAAAGGCAAATAGTCTGTGCACTTTGCAAGTGCAGTTGCTGAAGTGCTTAGTAAACGAGATGTTTCCAATCACATGCAAGGAAATTTTAAAAAATACAGCATTTTTGCTTGCACATGATTGGATGATGGAAGTCAGTACCACTTCTCCTCATTCACTAAACTCTGGAGCAACTGTACTTGCAGAGTGCAGTCTATTTGACTTTTGTGAATTAACCCCTACGTGACTTCAGTGCATATACACAGGAGTGATATCATTATGGCCAAGCCAATCAAGTGGCCAAAGAGTCTGAACCTGAAAGGAAGACCGGAGAGAAGGTGGAAGAGCCCATAACAGACTGGAGGTGGAGCACTGACACCTGCTAGGTAGGTCTGCCACAATATGCTAATATGTGGTACATGCTAGCACAATGTGGCAAAAAGCTCATGGGGCCCATGCTTGAGTTTCTTTTAGCCCTCTTGCACACTGGGGCTTTTGTAAAAGTTTTTCTCCTTGTAGGAGAAAAGCTGCTTCAAAACGTGCCTAAGCCACATTTTTGCAAACACGTTTAGGCGCGTCAAGTGTTTGGGTGTTTATTTAAGCCGGCCATAGATGGATTGCATCTCCGCCGGTTCAGCAGGGACCAGCCGAGATTTGATCCATCTATCTATGGGCAGGCTGGTTGTACTAAAGTCGATCCATCGATCAACTTGGGTACAACCAGCCTGTTGTATTTTTAGCATGTGATTACTGCCAGTGACTATAGCTGCTAGCAGTAATCAATGTATTCTGCCTGCCGCCTCACCAGCAGAATACAATAGTGCTGTGGGAGGCATTCTACCATCAACACTGACTGTTGACGAGGGAATTGAGTGATTTTCCACATGTGGTGGACGGAAAGAAAATCGATCAATCGGCTTGCCTTACCAAGTGTTAATTCTGCTTTAAGATGGTAATACACTTTTTTTTGTTCAGGCTATTGAAAACTATCTAAAAATCCTTCTATCTATGCTATGGCCAAATCTCTCTCTACTCTGCCACCAGCAACTGTCAAACAACAGCTGCATCTGGTTGAATGCAGCCACCGTGTAGCCAAAATTTTCCATCTGGTTGAACGTAGCCACCATTTAGCCAAAAATTTTCCATCTGGCTCCTTTGCTTTTTTAATCAAAAGAGATACCAGTTGGGAAGGAGGAGACAGGGCCACCCACAGTGCGAATGTGGGACAGTTCTTCAGGAACCAGCGTAAATTCGAACAGTGTATGGGCAGCCTTAGTCTAAAAATCAGTAAGGTCAGCTCTGATGCACTAACTTCTCAGATTGATCATTTCCCCTATAATAGCTGCCAGCACTAGGACACAAAGACAAACTATTGCCAGCTAAATACAAGCAGACAAAATCCAAACATGTCACATTTCCAGGAACATTTCCATCCAGTCTACTCTACCCCTCCATACTTTTAGCAGACAACCCAGACAGTGATCTTGTCACCCATCTCCCAGGCCAAGCTGCAAGCCTGACACACACATGGCCAGTGTAATGAGTCTGAATAAACAAAGAACCATGTGGCTGGGCTCTTTGTCTTACAGTCCTCGCCTAACACAATATTCATATTCATTTCTATGGCATCATCCTTAGTCATGCCGTTCTCCCACTCTCATTGTTTTACTTCAGGAAACCGGCCATGTTTTTCTTCATGTGATGTCATTTCCTCGCTTTAACAGCCATCTCATTTAGAGCAAGCTGAAAGGAAATTCACACAGATCATCAGTAACATGATACCTGTGGAATATGTCAACAGGATGGACACAGCAGCTGTTCCAGAAGAGAACTTCACTTTTCAAAGACTTCATTTGTTTCAGTGACCGCAAATACAGACAGGCCTATCAGATGGAGGGGCCTAACACGGTGTGGAGGACACCCTTCCAGCTGAGGACACAGATAGTGACTGTACAAAAACTAATAGAGCATGTGTTTGTGAGGATAATCTGAGATAAATGTCCATGTGTACAAACTCTTTCAGGCATCGTGCACACTGGATATTTTTACCACTGCTGTTAGGGCATCTGACAATTTGTATCTGCCTCAAAACGCCCCTGCATGTTAGCTTATAAATTATTATTCTGGCCAGTGAAATAAATTAACACCCAAACACTTAAAGCGCCTAAACTGGTCTAAACGTACACCCATGCAAAGGCAGTGTTTGTCCACACGGGATTCAATGGTGTTCTGTGCATCAGCATGCAGGCAGTCCCATTCATATCAGTTAGGATGCAGCGGCTGCACAGACACATCTCCTGCTCCCAATTTGACACCTGTGTGGGTGAGGGTCCCCGAACTCGCACCATATGCAGGCAAAAACAGCCTTTGCATGGGTGTACACTTAGGTACACCTGTGTGAACAAAGTCTAAGGGTTGTCCCCACAGTAAGAGGTAAGGGAAATCTTGCAATGGGGACACTTGTCCATGGGACAACTATTTGACGGCCTTTTACCATGAGTGGTCCAATCAGAACCATCTCTCAGTTTTCAGGAGGACCTGATCAGAGGTTCCGTGCTATGGTGGCTATTCGTACTTTGATAAATGATCAACTTGTTTTCTGATGGATTTCATCCTATAGGAATAATTGATCTATAGTCAACAACCTATTGGACTGATATATCACACATGGAGAAGTGGATTTCGATCGATAGTTAAGATACAATTAGAACTTTCAGTTGTAAATTATTGATCGTACTTCTGTTTCCACTATGCAATCTCATAATCTGATCGAACAAAATATGTTTGCATTCATAAACAGAGTATCCCAGTGCTGCAGACTGATGTAAAAAAAATTATAATATCCCATCTTGGCAAACTGAGTCAAAATTAAGTGTAAATCAATTGGAAGGGAAGTGATAGCTGTATGATTGTTTGCCAATTTGATCATTTTGATTGAATCACATACTGATCAGTAAACAAAGATTATGGTATACGTGGCCATCGTTAATCTATGTGTGGCTGTATGAAACATCTGATTACCTCTTAGTCTATCTACAGCCAAAAAAAAGAAACTGAAAAAGACCGGGTTCTTTTCTATATATTTGGACCTAAACATTAGGGATCTAATGTAAAAAAAAGTGCAAGACTGTTGCCTATCCGTAGATCGAACATGGGTCTGGAAGGCTTCTGTTCCGATCTGATTCAGAAGGGGCTCTGTTCATAAATCCTCTGCTGATTCCATCAGGTGGTTCCCATGTACAACAAGATGGGAAGACTTCCTTTAACTTCCTGTTACATCTCCTGGGCAAGAAGTAAAGGGACATTTCCCCAATGATGTACAGACCGAGTAAAATAAACCCGGCAGGGCTTCTATCCCATTCAAAACTGCTTACAAATATACTTTAACCAAATTGGAACTTTTTCAGCATGCAATAACTGCCTGTTGCATGTACCGTGTAAGTTATAACCATTCTGAAAATGTGTTCATCTAGATTCTAGAAAAAAAGGCATTAAAGCTATTTCTTAAAATGTTGCCTGTGACCTCCTTTGTAGCAAAAGTACCGATAGCTACATATGAGGGGTTTTTTACTAAAGCCGGACAATGCAAAATCTGGTGTAGTTCTGCAGAGAATCCAATCAGCATCCAGGTTTTATTGCCAAAACTTAATTGAACAAGCTGAAGTTAGAAGCTGATTGGCTACCATGTACAGCGACACCAGATTTTGAGTGCCTCAGTTTTCGTATCTCCTCCATTGCGTATAAACAGCTATCACACACAGTGTATATACAGACAGTACACATAGTGTATACACACCCATCACACACAGTGTATATACAGACATTACATACAGTGTATATACACCCATCACACAGTATATATACACCCATCACACACAGTGTATATACAGACAGTACACACAATGTATATACGCCCATCAAACACAGTGTATATACAGACAGTATACACACCCATCACATGCAGAGTATATACAGACAGTATACACCGTGTTTATACACCCATCACATGCAGAGTATATACAGACATCACATACAGTGTATATACACCCATTACCAGGACAAGTGCTGTAGATCCTTATCTCAACTGATACAAGAGGACAAGTGACAGATGACAATGATTGATCCCGGTACTATAGATAGTCCTTCATAGATGGAAGGCTATAAAACAAGATGATTATTTATATACATATATGGTATATTATCACCCCTACAACAGATGTAATGAATGTGTGTATGGGGTTTTCCTGATGACTGTGAAGTGTGGGGTGTCAGTGGGCTGTGTGTGTGGATGGGATGTCAGAACAAAGGAGCAGGGATCTGAGTGCAGGGAATGTAGGTCAGATGTGTGGACTGTCCTGGCCCAGCACCCCCATGTACTGCACACAGAACAAAGAGAGGAGCTGTGCTGGGATGGTGAGCCTGGGGGGGACCACAGACAAAGAGACACTCATCACCAGTCCCGGCCAGTCTGACCAGTAGGACAGGGAAGGAGGATGCGATCTGGGAGAGGACGGGGAAGGGGATGCGATCTGGGAGAGGACGGGGAAGGGGATGCGATCTGGGAGAGGACGGGGAAGGGGATGCGATCTGGGAGAGGACGGGGAAGGGGATGCGATCTGGGAGAGGACGGGGAAGGGGATGCGATCTGGGAGAGGACGGGGAAGGGGATGCGATCTGGGAGAGGACGGGGAAGGGGATGCGATCTGGGAGAGGACGGGGAAGGGGATGCGATCTGGGAGAGGACGGGGAAGGGATGCGATCTGGGAGAGGACGGGGAAGTGGATGCGATCTGGGAGAGGACGGGGAAGGGGATGCGATCTGGGAGAGGACGGGGAAGGGGATGCGATCTGGGAGAGGACAGGGAAGGGGATGCGATCTGGGAGAGGACAGGGAAGGGGATGCGATCTGGTGATCTGGGAGAGGACGGGGAAGGGGATGCGATCTGGTGATCTGGGAGAGGACGGGGAAGGGGATGCGATCTGGTGATCTGGGAGAGGACGGGGAAGGGGATGCGATCTGGTGATCTGGGAGAGGACGGGGAAGGGGATGCGATCTGGGAGAGGACGGGGAAGGGGATGCGATCTGGGAGAGGACAGGGAAGGGGATGCGATCTGGGAGAGGAAGGGGATGCGATCTGGGAGAGGACAGGGAAGGGGATGCGATCTGGGAGAGGACGGGGATGCGATCTAGTGATCTGGGAGAGGACAGGGAAGGGGATGCGATCTGGTGATCTGGGAGAAGACAGACACAACTTGTTGGAGTGACTGTAGAACACCGATCTCCTCCGGGATCACCCAGCGATATCACTTACACATGGCCACAGCGTGTCCTCATCGGCCGGTTCAGGACCTCCAGGCACACGGCACAGTCGTAGTTGGGGTCGTCTATAGCCAGGGCTTTGTGTTCTCGGCTCCCTTCGCTGCTCAGCACGGATCCCATGTTGCAGGATGGACGGAGGGTGTACTGTGGAGAGTGGATGGACGCTGGCCGGTGAACTCAGGGAAAGTGCCCGAAGAGTCTTTGTGATCGGCTCAGTTTACATGTGAAGGGCCAGCAGGCGGCAGATCGGGTTACAGCTCGCAGCAGACCAATCAGAGGCGGCCGCTATTGTTGGGAAGCAGCATGTGCTCAGTGCCAGCAGAGTGCAGGGTAAACAGAGCGAGGAGCCGGGGGGTGGCACCCCTACAAACCCCGCCCCCGGAGGATGATTCCCCCGCCTTCTGCTGGGTGTTATCTGTTACTAAAGAGCAGGCGGAGCAGCCAGTCACTGAGCTCCCAGCAACAAAGGGACAGATGACACATGGCCTGCCGTCCACCAGACAACCATTTACTGCACGTGCTGCCTCGCCTGCTTTGTTGTCCCTGATAACTAATCACTATTGCTGGCAAAATAAAATACTGCATCCTGTCAGCTACATTCCATACCTCCATCTGTCCCACTCTCAGAACTGGATCCTCTGCCCCTCCTTCCTCTTCAAATGGCCTTTTTGGTCTAATGTATCAGATATATACACTATATTGCCAAAAGTATTGGGACGCTTTCCTTTTCACACACATACTGAGTTGGCCCACCCTCTGCACCTATAACAGCTTCACCTCTTCTGGGAAGGCTGTCCACAAGGTTTAGGAGTGTGTCTATGGGAATGTTTGACCATTCTTCCAGGAGCACATTTGTGAGGTCAGGCACTGATGTTGGATGAGAAGGCCTGGCTCGCAGTCTCCGCTCTAATTCATCCCAAAGGTGTTCTGTCGGGTGAGGTCAGGACTGGTGACTACTGTGCACTTCAGCATGTGCTGACCCCACTCTGTCATTTTAAGTGGCCTACCACTTGGTGGCTGAGTTGCTGTTGTTCCCAGTTACTTCCACTTTGTTATAATACCAGTAACAGTTGACCGTGGAATATTTTGTAGCAAAGAAATTTCATAGATGGTCTTATTTCACAGGTGGCAACCTATCACGGTACCACGCTTGAATTCACTGAGCTCCTGAGAGTGACCCATTCTTTCATAAATGTTTGTAGAAGCAGTCTGCATGACTAGGTGCTTGGTTTTATACACCTGTGGCCATGGAGGTGATTGGAACACCTGAATCCAATGATTTGGAGGTTGTCCCAATACTTTTGGCAATATAGTGCATATATACATACAGGGGTTAAACAAAAAATGGAAACGCTACATGATTTGCAGGTGTGAAAGTGACCAGATGTTTCACATTGAGAGCGGAAGTGATCTAACATTCTTTTGCTTCCACTGTGTGATGAGACACCTAGCTAACAGGTGGGTAGCCTCACTTTCCTCATTCACTGTGTGCGCTGCTAGTAATACAAAGTCATGTTAGAGCTTACTGAGCTTTTAAGAAGAAAATTGTTGGGGCGGCTTAGCTGATGTCTCTGTGACTGAAGCAGGGCCGTCTTTAATACTGATTGGATCCTGGGCAAACATTTTCTCAGGCCCCCCCATGCACTTTTGCACCCCCATCATTACTCAGAACCTCCTCACTCACACTACGCCCATCATTATACATGTCCCCCCTTCCCCATACTACTCCCCATTATTACACAGGTCCCCCTTCCCCCATACTACTCCCCATTATTACACAGGTCCCCTTTCCCTCATACTACTCCTCATTATTACACAGGACCCCCTCCCTCATACTAGCCCCATTATTACAAGAGCCCTTTCCCAGCAATCTGAAATAGTCTTTTTAAGATTTCCAAACTATATGATTTCTCATAGTATCTAATGGCAGAGTTAATGACATGTCTCCATATGATTTAGAAACAGGGGCGGACTGCCCATTTGGAAACTCGGGCACCGCCCGAGGGCCCGGGGTCAGTAGGGGACCCCATGAGATGCCCCTGGTACCTTTTTCATAGGCTTTTTTGAGTTTGGGCAAGGACACAGGGGCCCCATGATCCCCTATTGCCTGGGGGCCCCATAAGTTGTCAGTCCGCTCCTGTTTAGAAACATTGTTGTCTGAGTTCCTGAAGCTGGGAAGGGCTGCTACAATATAAATGAGTTGATTTCTTAAACCCAACACCCAAAATAATTTGCAGGTTCCACCCGCTTTAGATTCATATAGAGACAAAAGGAGGCTGTGTATCAGGTGTCAGGTTGCCCTGGGCCACCTAAATAATGATGCCCTTTGTACAAGCTAAGGCCCCTTTGTCATTTATTTTAGTGAAAGGCTAGTGGAAGAATGGTGTTTTGGAGGAGGCTTGCAGTGTGGCTACCCTTCAACTGTACACACCATCATACCAGGGGAGGCAGGGAGAGCACACTGCCTCCTGAACAATGAAAAGTCTTCTTAGGCTATGTTCACATTTGTTTGTTGTGGCAACAAATGCAAAATTGTGTGCATTCCAACAATGCTCAAAAAGAGGAGTCTCTGACAAATAAGTCTTAGGCTCCGTTCACACCAATGCGTTAAATGGAGAATCTGCTGAAATACATGGTAGTGCGTTTTTTTCCACGTTTTGTGTTTTTAATTTCTATTTAGCCCAGCAAAAAAAAAAAATCCACTTTAAAAAAAAAAAAAAAAAAAAAAGCTGAACATAATGGAAAATGCGGTAAAAAAAAAAGCATAAAAACGCGTGTAGAAAAAACACAAAATGTACTGCGAAAATCACTGCAAAACAAACAAACAGCAAGCTGCATAGGTGTGAACAGAGCCTTACTTGCACCCTCACACATCTTGTTAACACGCATGTGCTTGCACAAGCCAAAATGTACAGTATGGTAACAAAGTACCATGTGTTTTGGCATGGCAACATTTTTTGAAAAAGGTCAGGCAGTTCTTTTGAGCATTTCTTGCATGTTGAAGCCCACTGAAATGAATAAAGTGCCCTAAAAACAACGTGCTAGAATACGCTTCATCGCACCTGCATGGTGTGAGCTGAACCTAAGTCTTAGGTCACACCGAATTTGACTTTGAAATCATGCGACTTCACTTGAACTCGCACAATGTTAAAGTCATATTTCTGGTTTCAGGTGTGACTTGGAAGACATCTGTGCGACTTCATGCACAGAACTTGCAAAAAGTAGTGCATGAAGTACTTTCAAAATTAGTGTGACTCCTAGTTGAAATCACACCGATATGACCACTTCCATTGTGGACAATGAGGTGTGACTTGTCAGGCGATTTGAAACTATCAAATCACATGACAAGTCTCCCCGCTGTGACCAGGAACTTATTCCCCTCCATCCCCAGGATCTCTTGAAGAAATATCCACAAATATAAATATGTTCCTCTGCACTTGGTGTAGGAAAAATAATAAGAAGTGTAACTGTAAATAAATGCCACCAAATGGGAAGCAGCACACTAAAAAGTGTCCAGATACACAAACACTGTGCATCTAATATTGACACTTGTTGCCTTGTTTTACCTGCCTTTTGTCAGTAGATTACTTTGAATAAAATAGATGGTTTATCCTGGTAATGCACTATGGTACACTTCGTTCTCTGCTTATATAGGTTGCTTGAGATCATTATTGAACCCCATGGAGTGATGCATGGCTGCTTTTAGGACACATCTGATGTACCTGTGGGCTGCCTTTAGATGAAGTGCCTGAGAACACTTATGCAGGCCATACATGGGTCGAATTCCAAACGATTTTTCATCCGAAAATCGAAAACGTTGTTCGCTCGGTAATCTGATAGTGCCATCAATGATTTCGAAAATCATCCGACAAAGTAATAAAGTTCACCCCATATAACAGGTGAAACTTCTGTTCCATCCAGGTCACGGCTCATGCGCATATTCTTTTCAGAAAAATTATCGTACAAGTTGACCATCATTGAGTCAATAATCAGACGTTTTTCACAAATTTTCCAACATGCCCGATCACCAAAAAGGGAAGGAACCACGAAAATCGGACGGTGCCATTGACCCACTAACAGAGCAAAAATCGTCAGATCATTCTTAGGTCCGATTTCGGACAAAAAATCAGTCGGATTTCGACCCGTGTATGGCTGGCATTAGTTGTTAAGCACTTGACGACCATGCTATAGCCGAATGATGGCTACAGCACAGTTGTCTAATTCTGGAAGGGCATACTATGACGAACTCCAGAACCACGCGTCCCTTGTGCCCCTTGGGGCTCGCACCCGGCGAGCACTGTGATCACTGTGTCTGTCGGACACAGCTGATCACATGACCTGATAAAGGGCCAATCACAGAACCCTTTTACCAAGTGATCAGCTGTGTCATTGGATCACAATGTAAATACAGTTTCCAGTTATCCGTTACACTTTCCTCACGCTGTCATGCTGAAAGAGGAGAGCAGGTAATTGGCAAGTATATTTAAAAAATCAGAGACAGCCAGTGTAGTCCCCAGCCCCAACAAATTCCATCAATGCAGTCCCAACAGTGTTCCTCAGTGCTGCCAGTCAGTGTCCATCAGTGCTGCCAGTGTCCATCAGTGCCGCCAGTCAGTGTCCATTAATGCCACCAATCAGTGATCATCACTAATGCCTGTGTCTATCAGTGCCGCCAGTCAGTGTCCATTAATGCCACCAGTCAGTGATCATCAGTGCTGCCAGTGTCTACCAATGCCACTAGTCAGTGTCCATCAGTGCTGCCAGTCAGTGCTGCCTACAGTGACCTTCAGTGTTGCCTATCAGTGCCCATCAGTACAACATATCAGTGCAGCCTCATCAGTGATCCTTGTCAGTGCCCATCAGTGCAGCCTATCAGTGCTTGTCAGTGCCACCTCATCAGTACCCATCAGCACAGTCTATCAGTGCCCATCGGTGCTGTATATCAGTGCCCATCAGTGCAGCCTCATTAGCGCACATCAGTGAAGGAGAAAAACTACCTGTTTGCAAAATTTTATAACAGAAACTAAGGGAACACTTTTTTTTCAACAGTTTTGGTCTTTTTTTGTTTGTTTAGAAAAAAATAAAAAAAAAAACAGTGGTGATTAAATATCACCAAAATAAAGCTATGTATTTCTAAAAAAAAAAAAGAAAAATTATAAAAAATCCATATGTGTACAGTGTTGCATGACCACGCAATAGTCATTCAAAGTGCAATAGCACTGAAAGCTGAAAATTGGCCTAGGCAGGAAGGGGGTGCAAGTGCTCGGTAGGCAAGTGGTTAATAAATGCAATATGACTTTACACAGGGGGTTACTTACTAAAACTGGAGAGTGCAAAATCTGGTGCAACTCTGCATAGCAACCAATCAGCTTCCAGGTGTTATTGCCAAAGCTTATCTGAACAAGCTGAAGTTAAAAAGCTGATTGGCTACCATCACAGCTTCACCAAATTCGGAGTATACCCCATAGTTTGGAGGTCTCAGTTTCTGGTAAGCAGATGGTGTGTGCTTTATATCGATGATGGTGCACAGAAGTGACTGCAATCAGCTTGCAGTGGATTCACACATGATCACTACAGCATAAAATCATCGGACATTTTCTGAATTCAATTTGGTTTTATGATTATTTATTTGCACTTTGGAATATGTACATATATTATTTTTTAATATTTATTACAATGCACTTAATGAGAGTTGTCACATTCATAAGTTTGGCATTTTACATATATATTTGATGTTTTCTTGTTTATTTGCACAATTGAATTAATTATTTAACAATGATTATTCTTTAAAGGGATAGCACACCTAATTTTTCTATATCGGAAATATCCACAAATGCCTAAGGCTAAGTTTAGATATGAGTCTAAACCGGCATGCCTCTGAGAAACCACGGCAAACTGAGCTGTAAGTGGGAGCGGATACCTGTCAAAACCAAGTACCGATTCCCTCCCTCCCCAAAAGCTGCTAAATGCGGCATCAGGGTGGGGTGGGGGGTGGAGCAGATAAGCAGAGCTTCCACTTTTGGGTGGAACTCAGCTTTAAGGAGGGCTATAATCCCTGTTAGATTTCTTAATTGCCATTTGTGTCCCACTAGGGAATTTTTCCCTCTCTTTCTATGCTAAAGCCAAAACAGAAAGTTAGGGAAATCCCTGATAGTCATCAGAACTAGTGTCTCCATTGGAAGACTTCCCCTGTATTTCTGTTCTGCTGACCGTTCTAAATGTGAGATTTTCTTTCTTTTCCACTGATAACTATTCCTGTAACAAATAGAGAGGATGAATTCCTCTAACAGGGCCACACACAGCAATTAAACCAGAGAGGTGATCTAAACCTCCATTCTAAAGTTCACAAAAAAAAAAATCTGTTAATACAGCGAAGGAAATAAGTATTTGATCCCCTGCTGATTTTGAATGTTTGCCCACTTACAAAGAAATGATCAGTCTAAAAATCGAATGGTAGATGTATTGTAACACTGAGAGACAGAATAGCAACAACAAATTAAAAATAAATGCATATCTAACAAATTATCCACTGATTTTGCATGTTCATGAGGGAAATAAGTATTTGATCCCCTATCGTTCAGCAGGATTTCTGGCTACCAGGTGTCTTTCATACAGGTAACAAGCTGAGATTAGAAGAAGTCTCTTAACCTCTTGACGGCTTCACCGCGGCCGGACGAATGACGGCTTCACCGCGGCCGGCCAGTTCTGAGTGGACGTCATATGACGTCCTCCCAGAACGCGCTCTCCTGCGCGCCCCAGGGGGCGCGCACCCGGCGATCTCCGTGATCGCTGTGTCCTACGGACACAGCTGATCACGTGATGTGGTGAAAGGCCGATCCCACCGGCCTTTTACCACGTGATCAGCGGTGTCCAATGACACGCTGATCACAGGGAAATGCAAGTGCCGGTTCTCGGCTGCACTTTCCTCACGCTGTCAGATCGTGAGGAAAGTACTGCCGAGAACCGGCAGTTGTCAGAGCGGGGATCGGCACCGATCATCAGGGCACTGATGATCAGTGCCCTGATGATTGGTGCCCAGCAGTGACAAGCGCAAGTTCCGCCCAGCAGTGCGCCCACTAGCCCCGCCCACCCGTTCCCAGCAGTGCCCCCACCTGTGCCCAGCAGTGCCCCCACCTGTGCCCAGCAGTGCACCCACCTGTGCCACTCTGCAGTGCCACCTACCTGTGCCCAGAAGTGCCACCTACATGTGCCCAGCAGTGCCACCCACCTGCCACCCACCTGTGCCCACCAGTGCCACCCACCTGTGCCCACCAGTGCCACCCACCTGTGCCCACCCACCAGTGCTGCCCACCAGTGCCACCCACCAGTGCAGCCCAGCAGTGCTGCCAGTCAGTGCCACCAGTCAGTGCCCAGGGGTTGTGCCAGTCAGTGCCGCCAGTCAGTGCCCAGAAGTGATGCCAGTCAGTGCCGTCTATCAGTACCCATCATCAGTGTCACCTATCAGTGCCGCCTATCAGTGCTGCATATCAGTGCCGCCTATCCGTGACCCCTAATTAGTGCTGTCTATCAGTGCCGCCTATCCGTGCCACCTCATTAGTACTGCCTATCAGTGCCCTTTAGTGCTGCCTATCAGTGCCCATCAGTGCCGCCTATCAGTGCCCATCAGTGCCGCCTCATCAACGCAAATCAGTGAAGGAGAAAAAATACCTGTTTGAAAAATTTTATAAAAGAAACAAATAAACTTTTTTTTTTTTTCTCAAATTTTTTGCACTTTTTTTAATTTATAGCGCAAAAAGTAAAGCGCCCAGTGGCGATTAAATACCACCAAAAGAAAGCTCTATTTGTGAGAAAAAAATGATCAAAATTTCATATGGGTACAATGTTGCATGACCGCGCAATTGTCAATCAAAGTGCGGCGCAGCGCTGAAAGCTGAAAATTGGCCTGGTAAGGAAGGGGGTATAAGTGCCTGGTAGGCAAGTGGTTAAAGGGAGTGCTGCTAATCTCATTTTGTTGCCTGTATAAAAGACACCTGTCCACAGGAGCAATCAATCAGATTCCAAACGCTCCACCATGGCAAAGACCAAAGGGCTGCCCAAAGATGTCAGGGACAAGATTGTAGACCTACACAAGGCTGGACTGGGCTACCAAACTGTCACGAAGCAGCTTGGTGAGAAGGTGACAACAGTTGGTGCAATCATTCGCAAATAGAAGAAACACAAAACAAATGTCAGTCTCCCTAGGTCTGGTGCATCATGCAAGTACTTTAACCCTTTAACCTCCTTTCTGTTACCTCTTTGCTGTGCTGTTGTTCTCTGTATATTTATATATATATATTGTTTACATCTTTTTTCTGTAAATATTTTAATTGCACCCTTTTGACCTTTTAGTAATAAATCTTTCCTTCTGAAAGCGTTGAACTGTTTCTATAGCTCTTTATTGCAATTTATGAATTCCTGCCTCTAAAAGAGCGCTACTGTTTGTTTAACCCTCTGTATAACCGGTCTGCGGTGACAGTATTGTACAGACGATTACCGCAACCATTATAGTGTTAGCTGATATCGCCGCGTTTCCTCTTTCTCTGTACAAAAAGGAGGTGGTGGCAGTGTGAAGGGTTAATTGTGTAATTAACCTGACCCAGTAACAAGCGCATTCAGGCTGCCGGTACATCGATTGGTGATCCATTAGCTGGAACATCGTTGTGCAGTGTGCAGCTGGGTGTGGCATTGTTACGCATGTGACATCGCGGTTTTAGATTGGCTAGTCCTTCGGTCACGAGTTTGGTGAGACAGTCAGTGGTTTGACGCCACGTTCATCACACAAGCTGCCTGGAGATCATTGACAAGATTCTCATGTGTAGTTCTGGGATGATTCCTCACTGTTCTCATGATCATTGACACTCCACGAGGTGAGATCTTGCATGATGCACCAGACCTAGGGAGACTGACATTTGTTTTGTGTTTCTTCCATTTGCAAATGATTGCACCAACTGTTGTCACCTCCTCACCAAGCTGCTTCGTGACAGTTTGGTAGCCCAGTCCAGCCTTGTGTAGGTCTAAAATCTTGTCCCTGACATCCTTGGGCAGCTCTTTGGTCTTTGCCATGGTGGAGAGTTTGGAATCTGATTGATTGCTCCTGTGGACAGGTGTCTTTTATACAGGTAACAAAATGAGATTAGCAGCACTCCCTTTAAGAGACTGCTTCTAATCTCAGCTTGTTACCTGTATGAAAGACACCTGGTAGCCAGAAATCCTGCTGAATGATAGGGGATCAAGTACTTATTTCCCTCATGAACATGCAAAATCAGTACATAATTTGTTAGACATGCATTTATTTTGAATTTGTTGTTGCTATTCTGTCTCTCGGTGTTACAATACACCTACCATTCGATTTTTAGACTGATCATTTCTTTGTGAGTGGGCAAACATTCAAAATCAGCAGGGGATCAAATACTTATTTCCTTCACTGCGCATGCATGAATGTTGTCACAGGTGCACATGCGTGTTTATGCCACTGCATGAAAGCATCAGCATATGACTGAGTACGGCTGCATACATACATCCATTCACTTTTATGGCCAGCTGTATATGCCACCTGCGGCTACTAGAGCAGCAACAAATGTTGGAATTTTACACTAGAGCATATTTTAAGCGTCAAACCGTTTGTGTACATAATGACGGTTACGTGTACACTAGCCTACCCTGACCACTGGTATATTTTGCGTTTTCCCGGGGCTGGCGGTCAAAAATGGTCCTATCCTGAATGCAGTTCTTCCACGGCAGCTCCTAAACTCTGCTTAAAGCCTATGTGTACATGGACACTTAAGCTTTTAGGGCCAGTTCACACTATAGAAACGCAGTCCAGATGCGTTTCTGTATGCACATTATTTACAAGCTTTTGGCGCTTTTTTGATGCATTCCGTGCATTTGTGGTTTATTTTTCCCGTCATTTTCTTCAGTTTAATTAGGGACATGTGTGTTCCAGTGTGTTTTTGGCATGGCGCATTCCAGAGCATTTTACCATGTTCCAGTACAGTTCTGTGCAGGAAAAATGTAGCCTCTTCTACTTTTTTTTCCTGCATCCGGAACGCACTGGAACTGCAAGCACTGATGTGAACTTTGACATTGACAACCATATACCTACTTTCTGTGTGTTTTGGATGCAGAAAAAAGCACACTGAAATGCATGTAGTGTGAACTGGCCCTTATGGAGTTGAGTTTAGGAGCTTTGTCAAAAAACCGCCAGAAGCTCCTGAAAGTTTATTAGCTGCCAGTGTACAAGAAGCCTAAGGGCTTACATTGAATATAATTCATTTAAAGTGGACATTTCAGTAGTTTGCTTGCAGAGGTACATTCCTGACATGTCACAGTATATAGCAGTAGTATCATTTTCAGAATCAGTCTGTCAGCTCCAGCCAAGTGACTTTGGCCCAGAACAGGAATGTGTATCTCAGATGAAACAAAGCCCTAAAACAAGAAGATGGAATCTTCAAGAACATAGGGAGAATTAAAGCGATAATAAACCCCAAAGTAGACATTTATTATATTGCAGCTTACCAATTCTTAGCTAATGGCTTCATTAGTTTTCATTTAGTTTTAATTTATAGGCTTTCTTTCCTTTTTTTATACATGGTGATCCTGCCAGGAAGTCTGTTGTTTTTCAACAGAACAAACAGAGGGTTGAAACAAACCATTTACTACTGACAGGGGTGCTTGCAATGATCAGCTTCTATACTGTAAAACCTTTATCCCAAAAGAAAAAAAAACTGTTGCTTGTTGCTGTAACTGCTTATAAAGTGTTAGCTAGAGTTTGGCTTCAATCTATTAGTATATCTACAATAAATGTACTAGTCCATCTAACACCCCCCTCCCCCTTCGATTAACAATGCTTTGTCCAAAGGTGCCCTCTTGTGCTCCTTCCTCCAGAGTGTAGGCACTCCAACACAGGAGGTGTGTTATTGGCCAGATTGCCAGGTGAAAACAGAGGAGGAAAAAAAAAAAGAAAACTAGTTCTGCCTTTATATTCATGGATTGCTAGGCTACAATATACTGTATTACTGTAGCCACCCTGTCCTAAATAGGGGATACTAGTTAAATTTATTTCTGCTGGATGGTAGACATACTGGCTGATTTATAGTCTACTTGTACATTTGCTTTTTCCCTAAACTCAATAAAGCTGTGGTTTCTCCCTTCTGCCAGTAGGCAGGAGTGTATTTACCACAAGGCAAACAAGGCATTTGCCTAGGGCGGCATTTTTCAGGGGGGGCAGCACTGCCCCTTGGAAGAAGGGACAGAAGAAGGGACACAAGTGGCATGGAGACATGGTGGGTGCTGTGGGTTTCATGATGGTGTATGCACACCCCTATTCTCGTTCCCTGGGATGTACAGAGTTGTGAAGGTGAGTGTCTTTCTCTCTCTCGCCATGGTGGCTGGTGTATGGAGGGCAGTGGAAGGCTCGGGTGGAGGGCAGGGGTGTTCTTGGTCAATGTCAGGCTCCTTATGTGGGGGGGGGGGGGGGGGCACCAATTTTTGTGTTGCCTATGGTAGCACAAAACCTAAATACACCACTGCCAGTAGGTGTCACGTGTACATATGCCATTAGTACGAGAAGCTACAGTAAAATTGAAGTATATTTATACTTCCTCTATCCAATCAGTAGGAGGTTTATAGCCGCTGGTGCATGCTGGGGGGGGGGGGGGGGGAGTATAAATACATGAGGAGGAACAACTGAGTGATTAGCCTGAGGTCTGAGGCCTGTACATGTGCTAGGAGCAGAAGTCTGCCTGTTCAGTGTGTCCTGGTGCTTAAGGGCTCTGTGATCTGAGTGCCTGGCTGAGGACAGGAGTAGAACAGATGATGTCTGGGATGATGTACCAGAAGTCCCTCTTCTACATGCGGTCCTGGGTGAGGAATTTGTGGAGTGCCTGGGAAAGCATCAAGATGGGATCTTGTGAAATATCCCTGGGAAAGATTTGGTTGCTAATGGAGATGGCTGTAATAAGGTGGTAGCGATTGCTGGAATCAGATTAAAGGCTCTTTTCTGTTCTGGTGTCTCTTCTTTTTGGGCTGAGTCTGCAGGTCAGTAACAGGTGTTCTAAACTCCCTACCCCTCTCTCCTGGGAGTTTTGAAAGTCAGTACACTTTTTTGTTTTGCATCTTGAAGTGATTGTAAACCCTTACATATATACAGTGAAGTGACTGTCTTCAGAAGATACACAGAGATGGAATAAATTCTCCTACATAAGTTGTACCTGTTTATCTACGGCTGTCTGTTCCCTACATCCATTCAAAGTTCAGAATTTACACAGGATCTCTGTGCTCTGAAAAGCAGGAGGTGAGGAGCTGAAGTGAGGAGAGCTCTGAGAGCTGATTGGTGGAAAGGGGCACC